AAAAAAATTTTGTTTCGGAATTAAATTATATATTAGTTTATTAATTATTATTAACAGTTTAACACTCGTAATCCTCACGTATATTTATGTATGACAATTCAATAGAATTACAAGGGAATTAAACTACAGCGTTTATACCAAAGTATAATAAATGTAGGTACAATAATAATAAAACTGTATCGCATACTCGTATTTTATGCATAATAAAATATAAATCATATCTCATAGTAATCTTATATTAAATATGTTATCATATATATACTTTATAGCAATGCAGTGAGAAATGCGGAACGTTTTTTTGGTTCCTGAAATATTGTGAAATATATCGTTCCGTACGATATTGGTAGAAAATGAACAATAATATATTATGGGGTACGTTTTGTGGCGTGAAATACAAAAATCGTTACTACTTATCACGTGCGYATATGCACGAAGGGATAATAGCGTATAATATGGTCTGCATCAGTAAACGATGAGAGGTTTATCGTACAAGCTTATATTTTTGTAACGGCGCGTTATCATTTGAAATGATTAAATCGACGTTCATCAATGAAATGAATAAGACCCAGCCAATCGAGCCACCCTTATAACATAATAAGCCGTCCTGAATTGGTATTGTATAAACTAACGGCCGCTAGTTAGCGGATAAAAAATCGACGCCTCGTTTGACTACATAGTTTGTTCGATGTTCCGGCCCTAGATAAGTATTGAGTTAAGTATTTTGTGTCGTAACACAGCACCTATGTACTATATTATATAGGTTTGTATAGTCCCTCATCAAAAATAGGCTTAATATATAGTATATTGATTGGAAATATTATGACATTCTGACCACATATATTCTTTATAACATTACAGTTTATTCGCGTAGTCTTCAGGACGTCTGTGAGACATTAGGTAGGTATAATATATATATATATATATATACTGCAAGTTGTAATATTGTGCTGCTGTCACAAAGCGAGTCTTAATCACCTCCGTCCGACGTGGTGGCGTTAAGTTTTGTTATAGATACTCGATATAAGAATTGCACTGCAGGGTAGGTATGTCGTATGTGTATATGCGGTGAGTTAATTAAAGAAGAATGCATTTAATTACAAATTGCAATAATTTTCTATTCTAAATCGCCCATTTTGAAAGTTTACCATCTTTCAGTTAATAGACGATTTCATACWCCACTACGACCGAAATTTAGAAATACGAGTTTCATGGTATGTAGGTATAATTAGTATTCACTCATTTATTTATTAAAATGAGGAAGATATAAAAAAAATTAATGGATAGWTTACTTACACCGACAAATCGGCTATAATATATAAATATATAATATAATGTTTTATATACTGCAGCATATATTCTATACGTATATTTTATAAACATAAGACGTGTTTTAATTATTAAGTTTATAATTAAGTAAAATTGTCTAAAAATAAATAAAATAGGTAAGGCAGAGCAAAAATATATTAAAAACACGCGTTATTCTGAACTGTAATGATCAAGTCATAAATATAATATTGGTAAACACTACATTATGCGATATGCCTCGGTGGTTTATTTTAAAAAACAAAATATTTCACCCTTTTAAACAGTCATTCTATATTTTGAGATTGTCTATTCCTGCAAATATTTAATATGTCATATACTAACCATCAGCGATTTGCTTTATAATAAAACATTATAAATTTATAACATATAGTTACAGCGTGATCTTATGTTATTGTTAAATATATTTTTAGAGTGCATAGTTATATAGTACCTACGGGTAATATAATAATAATAATATGTCGTAGCAAGTCGTGTATATTATAATTTTATATTTGCGTKAAAACGACGATAATTGCTCGACCGAGGTGGTGCTGTTTTTCCAAACAATATTATATTTAATTATACGGTAGGAGGCCGTCGTCGGTCGAGCGCACGCATTATCATCATTTATATATCGTTATTATTATACCGCGACCGCGGTATATGCGCCGGCGGCGGTAGTCGGGTAGGTATTAGCAGTAGGCACCCACGGACACGACGCGTCACGAGTGGGAGCAAGCGAGAGAGAGTGAAAATTCGGTCGCCACCGCGGCCCGCTGATGACTACCGGCGCGACGCGCGCGCGCCTTGAACTGCCGGCCCCGCACGTCCACCCATTGGCCGGACCCGCGTTCGGTGGGAGGAGCCSCATTGGCCGCGAGGCGCGCACGACCCGGTCTGTTTACCCGCTGCGTCAGTCACGCCGTGGAGCCACTCGGCGTTCAACAACCCGCTGCGAAAACCCCGACCGACCGACCGTGGACGTGCGCGCCCGCACTAGAGTGAAATATAATAACGACGACCTGTGTGCGATTATTTTTTAAATTTTTATTCGTTTTAAATCTTTTCGTGTTGATAGTTTTTTTTTCTTTTTCTCGTTTATAAACGCGTGCCCGACTTTTCGCCAGTGATGCCGATAAGACCGACGTTTTAAATAATTTTTCTCTTGTCGCCTCGTCGATATGCGATCCGTCCGCGCACTCGCTATATAATATTGTTAGGTATTATTGTTATACATTTGCTGTTGTGTCTTTTTGCCGTATCATCATCCRATTCTCGCGACCTTCGCTAAAATACTACTGCGATACCGGTAACATCGCTTATATTGTACTATTATATGTTATTGTATCAGACGGGTGGAATTTTATCATCATCATAATATATAACATCTGAGGGTGTGACGCGTAAATGACGACCGCGTTATGTTAAACCCGTTTATGGAAAACGCGTCTCTGGTCAACGGCATGGGCGTCAAGGTCGAGGAAGACTACATGGCCGCCTCCCAGGACCACTATCATCAGATGCATTACGGGCAGCAGCAGGCACCGCCGCCACCACCGCCGCCACCGCCTCCTCCACCGTCGGCGCATCATCCGGGCTACCCGGGACCGAGAGACTTTTTGCAAATCCGCCGTGACGTGGCCGACTACCACCACCATGGGCATCACCACCATCACCACCATCACCAGCACGGCGGGGATCATCACATGGGCGGCCTGTACCCAGGGGCCGTGCACCACGACTTGCAGCTGCACCACGGACAGGCATACCCGCCGCCGCCGCACCAGCCGTCGCTGCAACCATCCGCGTCTGTGCACCGGCACAATGATTACGGCGCCCAAGATCCGTACGGTGGCGGGGGTGGTCATCCAGGTGGCGCGTTTTACCGGTACATGCGACACGGCCCGGTGGTTGCAGCCACGCTCAAGGACATGTCGTGCCTGTGGATCGATAAGCCTGGGCCGCCGATGCGCACGTGTGGCAAGATGTTCGGTTCCATGCAAGACATCGTGTCGCACATAACGGTCGAGCATGTCGGTGGGCCCGAGTGTACGACCCATGCGTGCTTTTGGCACGGGTGCGAGCGCAAGGGCCGGCCGTTCAAGGCCAAGTACAAGCTGGTCAATCACATCAGGGTGCATACCGGTGAGAAACCGTTTCCGTGCCCGTTCCAGGGGTGTGGCAAAGTGTTCGCCCGGTCAGAGAATCTCAAAATCCACAAACGCACTCACACAGGTACGCACAATCACTATCGTAATCATATTTTTAACGCATTTACACCCTTTTTTACCGCCAATTGCCGTTCTCGCAATGTACGCATGTAATCGTAGATATGATGATAAAATGGTTTGGTTATCAACCACGATTTATCACTGTCACAGAACATTGTGTCATTTTCAGTATACCTTTATCATGTCAGACCCACCCTCACGTTACAAAAACTCATAAGCCATCATAATATGATATTATCAATTTAGTTTTTTGATTAGGTATCGGAGAACGATCTATTTCATTATAYTATTTGACTTTTTGTAAATTTTTATTTTTTAATGTACCTTACCCAACGCTGAAAAAATCCATGGTTTATATTACGTTACATGTTTCCGTACCATTGAACATAGTAATCATAGTACCCGATTTAATTTTTTAATACTATCATGTATAATAATATAATAGGTATAATCCGAGTAAATTCC